GGACTCAAACCGTGGTCGGCTACATGGGAGTCCAGCGACATAGCCACTACGCCAACTGCTGGTCCCAATATATTCTCCACTTTAACAAAAGATGGTCTGCGTGACAGGGTTACAGAGTGGTGTCTGCCCCCCACCCCACGGTGGCGGACACGTACCTCCGCGGCTCTCCGTTTCCCAATGTTCCAGCTGTAATACTGCTCCACAGACTTGGCGGAGAAACAGCTGGCATCGTCACCTAGAAGGCACATGCCCAGGACAGGAGTAAAGCCATTATGACTCAAACGAACTCTCAGGAGCTGGAGGCAAGCCTCCCAGTGTCGTCAGACCCCTTCCCCCGCAAGTCCCGGCAGCTCAGCGCAGGGGCTCCTTCGGTAGAGATGGGCAATCTGCTGCTCTCCGGCAGGGTCCTGGCCTGGCCCCCGACTCGCTGAACGGCATGGGTAGCCCCAGCACCTCTCTGGGCTTCAGTTCCCTGACCTACAAACCTCGGGGAAGGTGGTTTCTGAACAGCCTTCGGCTTTAATATTATGTGTTCGTGTCTACATAGCTAAAGAGAGATTTCTCAGTCTTGCTGCTGGGCTGGGCAGCTTCCTTGGAAGTTTACTCCCAACCACCTCAAAATAATCCCTGAACGTCAACTGAGAAAGGAATCATCTCTTCGCTACTACTAGGAAAATGAACAAACGGGGCTGCACCCAGCCTGTCGCTTCACATTCCCATAAACTTTGCAAACGACACGACCACGTGCTCGCGCCTGCTCTGGACGGCCAGTGACATGCCCAGGAGCGTACGGCTGGGCGCTGATCCTGTCAGAGAGCCGAGCCAACATCCAGTCTTGCCACAGGTGGGCAACGACACCGCGGGCTTTACTTTTGGAGGTCCTTCACTTTGGGGGTACATTTCTATAAAGTTGAATTTTAGAGGAAAGATGAACGGTCTTAGAGTCAAACAGAGCTGGGTTTGTGCCCTGGCTCACTCGCAAAGCTATGACCTCACCGTGCTCATCCCGGTCTCGCCCGCAGGACGGGGACAGCACCGCCTGCCACAGAAGGGACTGTGAGTACCAGGGCAGCAGTCGTGGCCAGCTTGCACAGGGCCCGGATACTGCAGACAAAGGCTCATTTCTTTCCTTCCTAATAAATACTAAGAACTAAGGCAGAGTTTATATTCACAATAATGCATGATTTACATTAAAGATAGTGTAAAAAATTCCTTCTTTTAATATCTATCAAACACAGTAAAAATATTATGGGCAAATTTGTGAACTCTAAAACCCCTGTGAAAGAGATGTCTCTAGCTGAAATCTCTTAAGATACGAACTGCCACATCAGTATTAATTTACAATACCAAGTGAGTCACGTTAACGCAACGCCTCAGGTAGTTCACAGCTTTAACAGAATCACCCATATACGAGGTAACATCATCTTACTTTTGGCAGTGATTAACGGAATCTTCTTCACCACTGCTGTCAGGAGTTGCTGGATTGTCTCCAGATGGTCTATCCTGAGAAGGATAAAGGAAGGAAAAGCAATAAAGGAAACACATGTACACTCGTGTTCACGTCTGTACCCCCCTTCTGAGGAAATTGTCATTTAAAACCATTATATTGGCATGCTTCCCTCCACAGAGAGCCTCTTTAGAAAGGTGTGCTTTATGATTAAAATGCCAAGACAACAACAGACCAGATGGCAGGACTGGCAAACCATGCAACTATTGGACATGTTATCGTTATTTGTAAGTTAAACAGCCCTTTAGCTGAGTCACCGCGGCAGAGTAAAAGAATTCTATCACGAATGCTACAAGTTGGTTCTGAAAGTTGAATAGAATACAGTTGGTGTCTGGGTCTGTTACCTGACAGTGTCTACACTTCTTTTTTTGTTTTTGTTTTCATTTTTGAGAGTGTTTTGCTACAGGGCGCGTGTGCTCACCAGAGACAGAAAGTGAGAAATCACCCCCCACGGGGGATGGTCACACCACAATCCCTTCTCCTCCATTCTCCTTTCTGGATCTTGGGCATGCACACACATACACCTGGTGTGAGTTTAAGCCACCGGGTCCGGGACTCGAACTGTGGTCTACTACATGGGAGTCCAGCAACATAACCATTACACCAACTGCTGGTCCCAGAGAGGCTACATTTCTACTGTCCTCGAGAGCTTGATACTACAAAGCACATGGTCAGGGCTGGGTCCCCAGTGCTGAATTAGGAAACCTCCGAAGTCTCCGAGAAGCAGCAGGGAGTGCGTGTGGTGCACGAGAAGGGCTCTGTGGGGAGGCAGTGGGTGGGTACCCAGCTACTAAACACGTGCACACCGGTGACCACGCCGTGAGGGCTCTTGTTCCTCGAGGGTTTGAGAGAAAACTCCACGTCGGCAGCTGCAAGGAGGTGGCAATCTCACTGCAGGAGTCTGAGGCTACAAGCCCCATGCCACTGCCATGCCTCACTGCTGGGGCATGGAGACTCCCTGGCTGAGTGCCAGGCGTAGTGCACATTGCTCACGGGGCTTAACTCTGAACACACCTCTCTACATACACTCGGCTATCACAGGCATGGGTTGTTTTCTTTTAGTAATGTTTTAAAATTGAATTTTATTATTATTATTTCTTTGCTATAGGGCACATGCACTCATCAGAGAGAAACAAGAGACATAGAGAGGGAGGCAAAGTGAGAAAGCAAGCTGCCAGGTCTGGGACTCGAACCATGGTCATCCCTGTGGGAGCTCAGTGCCTTAGCCACCACGCTGCCTGCTGGTCCCCCACAGGCATGACTTTCAAAAAGCATCACAAAAACATCCAAAGCAGAGCTCCTCCAGAAAGGACAGGAACAATTACTTAATTACGTAGTTCCCCAGCTCCGAACTCTCTTCTGTCTTCACTGCGGTCGGGATCTCCTGGGCAGGGCAGCTCGGCCCCGCTGTCTCTGGCTCAGTCTTCACTACAAGGAGAGAGTGACAGAGAGAGCTGTCAGGGCTCAGCGCGGGCAGGGCACGTGCAGGCAGAAACGGAGCCAAGACCAGCTCAGGGAGGACACTGCCACCCCAGCTGGGGCTGAGAGGGCTCCTGTCACCACAGGGAGCAGACAAGGGAAGAACTGTGAATGTGGGGGAGGCGTGGGGAGGGGACGACTCCAGGGTCAGGACAGGGGGCGATAAATGCTGTTTTTCTTTGCAGACAGTTTAAGGGGCCACACGCACGGCTGTGAGAGTCTTCGCACAACCACTCTCCGGACGGAGCACTGCCACGTTGAGTACAACGCTGCTCGTCCTCTCCAGCTGAGCGCATCCGCTTGGGGCATCATCTTATTCTGAGACACAAGGCACAAAGCAAAGATCACATCCGAGGTGCCTGGAAACTTCCGAGCCGATGCCATCAGTCCTTCAGTATCAGGAAGCCCACCGATGAAAGCCAGCACGCCTCCTTCAACACTCTGATCAGAAGCCAAGACCGGCACTGGATTCCTGCATGGCTGACCATGGTTTCAGACCTGGACCTGGCGGCTTGCTTTCTCCCTTTCCCTTTCTCTCTCTCAAGTCAAATTTAAAATAAATAAATAACAAATGGAATTAAATAAGTAACTCTTAAAAATGACAACAACAAAAACAACAACAACAACAAAACCATGACCAGCAACCCATCTTGTAGGTCAAGTTTGTCCTAAAAGATCTCACAGTGACCTTTCTCCACTCTATTCGGTAGCTCCCTCCGCCTCAGCAGTCTACAAATGAGACACGTGTGCACACCCCCCTCCCTCCCCTCCGTGCAAGCTTTTGTCGTAAGACAGAAGCGCTCACCAGAGACAGCGTGAGGGAAAGTGAGAAATCCTCCCCCACAGGGCTGGCCACGCCACGATCCCTCCTCCTCCACTTTCCTCTTGGGATTTTGGGCGCACGCACACACACCCACGGTGATTTTCAAGCTACCAGGTGTGAGATTCAAACTGGTCAGCTACGTGGGAGTCCAGTGCTTTAACCATCACACCACCTACTGGCTCCCGTTCCCCTTTCTACGGAGGTATAACTTGGATTTAGCAGGGCGCACAAACATCAAGCCCGATAACTCCCACCTAGGTGTGCGCCCAGGTCCCCACTGCCCACTGAGGCAACTCCCCCCGCCTTGGGCCGTTCCTCCTCCAGAGACCCGCCCTGTGCCCACTCTGCTCTCCATGGGCCGGGAATCGTACTGTGCACTCGTGTGAGCGTCAGTCCAGCTGCTGTGAAGTGATGAGGCGGACATTCTGGCACCTTCTGGCAGACATGTGCACGCATTTCCAGAAGTGCTTTACTTGGCAGAGGGCAGGAACTGCCAGACTGACTTCCAAAGCGAGCAAACGCCATGCAGTCCCAGGGCAGTGCACACACGCCCGAGGCGTGACGTCCTTGCCCACAGCTGGCACTGCCACCCGGCACTGTGCTGGTTCTGGTGGGCCGCTATGGTTCCCGTCAGCATCCTCTTGCTGATTATTAGGCTGAACCGTTTCCCACAGCCTATGAGCTAGCGACTTCTTCTGCCTGCTCACATATTTTGCCCATTAAAAAAAAAAATCAGTGTCAGTCTTTCATGTTGCTAGTTAGGGGTGTAGGAGCCGTATATTATGAGTATGATTCCTTTGTTTTTGTGTGCATTTCTCCACACAAACGTGCACTGCAAATCCCTGCCAGTTGGCTTCATTCTTTGCTCTTTTAATGTCCTTGGGTGACGTGAGGTTCCGAATGCTAATAAAGCCCAATTTATCAAACTTTCTTTCTTGGCTTAGTTTTCCTCTGGTCTTTAAAACATCCTTGCTCAAGGTCGTGAAGATAGTCTCATATTTTCTCCTAGAAATTTTTTTTTTTTTTTTTACCTTTCACATTTATAGGTCTACGATCAACTCAAATTAGTTTTTAGTTTATATAAGGTGGGCTAAGGTTCATTGTTTTCCCGAACATACATAGATACATACACACATACACACACACATATGTATAAAAATTAACCCAGTGTTACTTATCAAAAAAACAAACAAAAAGATTTTTCTATGTACATTGACTTGTATTGAGTGACCTTGCTAATTTCATTGTTAATAACTCCTAGAGCTTCCAAGAAACAGGAGGTCTTCAGAAAAGCGTCAGATATTCCGGTTCTTCTTTAATTTGCTAGATGGTGTGTGTACTTGTCAAAGAGAGACAGAGAGGGAAAGTGAGAAAGCACCCCCACACCATAACTCCTTTTCTTCCATTTCTCCTTCCTCTCGGGATTCTGGGCAAGCACCTTGGTAGGTTTTTCAAACCTCTGGATCCAGGACTCAAACTGCTGGTCATGCGGAATCTATCTGCCTGAACCACCAGGCCATGGGCTGGCCACAGATACTCCAGTTCCAAAGGCAGAACACGCACTCTTAATTTGGCAAACAATTACAGAATTACATAATCAGAACCTGTTCAGGCTGGGGCAACGCTTCACTATAGAAATGAAAATACATGTCCCCAAAGACTTGTGCACAGCAGCCCCGAACTGGGAACAACTCTACCGCCCACCAATAATGGGAATAGACCATGGTGTATTCCTACAGTGTGAAATACCGCTCAGCAATAGCATGGATGGCATCTCTGGAACCCATGAGAAGTGAATGAAAACTGACGCAGAAGAGCGTACGTACGGGCTCCCATTATATACAAAGTTCAAAACCAGAAACTACCGACGGTAGGAGAAACCAGAACAGCGGTGGTGCCTGTAAGGGTGGGGAACTGAATGGAGGGGCCCGGGTGACAGGAAGTTCTGTCTGGAATGGTGCACTGGTTACACGGCCTATACAGTTATCAATTCATCAAATGGCGTGTTTAATACGTTTCCATTTCACTGTAACATCTCCTTCAATGAAAATCCAAGCAGATGTTCTAGCCCAGGCCCTAATGAACAGAAGGGCATCTGTGTGAGGCGGACCCGTGACAGGTCCCTCGACTGAGTCGCAGCGGTCCAGACGCAATCATTCCTTCGAGCACTGTCTTTGTATCATGGGGTGGGGAGTGTGTGGTGCCAAAGTGCTGAGAGAACGTGAAGTGAACGAACACGGCAAGCACCCCAAAAGCTTTACTTACACAACAGCCAGTGGACGAGTCGGCCAGACCCCGTCCTGGCTGGTCACTTAGTAAGTTACCCTCCACCTCTTGCCAAGACAAGCGGGCATGACCTTGCATGCCTAAAAACCAGCTTGGCATGGTACTGGATGACATTTCAAATCCCGACGAGTGCGTTCTCACTTCCCAGGCTGGGGAGGTAACACTGACCACCTCCAGACTTGTTTGCTCAGCTTCACGACGGGCCTGCTAGCTCTAACCAGGTACGGGATGAGTTAGTGATGGCTCTTACGCAGCTGGCATGGCGCCCGGTCTCCCGCAGGCTCTTAGCACGGCGACCGTCGTTTCCGGCCGTGCTGCAGGTGTCGGACGCGGTGCTCTCGTCCACCGTGCCAGCCTCGCCGACTCCCGGTCAGGACGCCCTGCACTGCCGGCGTGCCAGTGCGGGCCTCGGCCAGCCCTCTTCACACGGCCCACGTCTGCAGCGAGCCCGTCGAGTTGTCTGCGCCCCGCAAGCCCTCTCAGCCTGTCTCCCCGTTCCTTGGTCTGACACACTCCTTGACCTCTCCTCAGCTAACAGGGCTCCCCTCTTTGAGGGTGTGGACTGCAGCCCAAGCCCCACAGAAGGCCTGCCCCTCCAGACGCCCGACCAGGCCCCTCCGACATCCAGGCTTCGCCACTCCAGCTGTCACTCTTCAGGCCGCTTCTGCGTTGGCCAAGCACTGCGGTCGCTGCTTGCTGTGACCTCGTTACGGGTTCTCGGCAGCAGACGTGGCGTTCCGTACTTCTCTGCATTTCCCTCTCTACCGAGTCCACCGCACAAGCATTCAGTGCTCTGCCAAGTGACTGATTCACCCACGCTAACAATTCAGGTCTGGGACCGCAGTAACGCCCGCCATAAAACTTCTGGATATACACCGTGGGGGGGTCTACGTACCTTTCGCCACAGCTGCTGGTGTAGAGCTGGGGACGACCGGCGTCGGGGCAGCGACCGGCAGAACGGCAGGCGATTTGCTGGCGGAAAATGACTGAACCACTGAACAGTGACGGAGGGGACAGAACAAAACGTACGTGTAATGAGGACGCCCCCGCCGCCAGGGCAGAGCACCGAGCGGGGTGGGACGGGGAAGGACGGGGATCTGACTGGCTGGGCTGTTACTAACACCACAGTAGCTGGGCATATCCTCCACTGTAGGGACGGGGGCTGCCACTAGATAAAGAAAAGAAAAACCCACCTAACCCAAACTCTCATAAATGCTTACAATGGTCCCCTCTGCTCAGCCTGAGAATGCGCAGCTATCTGCAAGCCAATGGACCAGGGAAGCGCCAGGGAGCACCAGGGAAGAGCAGTCAGACGGACAGAGGGGCGGTGGACGCTCCCCACAGACCAGCCACGGTGGGGCCGCGGGAGGACGCACCTTTGTTCACAGGCATCAGGATCGTCTGCACGCCTCCGGAAGTGCTCACGCTGAGGGGTTTGAGCTGGCTGGGGATCGTCAGGACAGCCTGCTGGGGACTGGAGTTACTGGAGTGAATCTTTAACAGTCCTACGACAAACCAGAAGGGAAGGCCAGGCTGGGGTCAGACACTTCCGGAAGGTCCCCGCTCTCTCTGCCGCTCGTCCACCTCAGAGAGCAGAGCTGGGAGCACGGGCGGCGGGAGCTGCAGACCTCACGGTGAAGCACCAGTGTGACAATGCTTTACTTTTAATATAATTTGTAAAGAATTATTCGAGGGCCCAGCAGGAGGTGTGGTGATCAAGGTGCTGGACACTCTCACGTGGCCAACCACGGTTCGAGTACCGGACCTGGCGGCTTGCTTTATCACTTTCCCTCTGTTTATGTGTGTGTGTCTCTCTCTCTGGTCAAATGAAAATAAATGAATAAATAAAATAAAAATAATTATTTTAATTAATTAATTTTAATTTAACCGGAGATGGAAAGAGAGAGAAAGCAAAAGAAAAAGAGAGAGAAAGTGACAAAGCAAGCCACCAGGTCCAGGTGGGAATCAGCCACGTGGGAGTCCGGTGCCCTTAACCACCACGCCACCTGCTGGCCCCTATTTTTAATATTTTTCAAAGCGTATTTATTTTCTAAGATGGAGGCAGGAGGGAGGGAGAAAAAGACAGGAAACCTCTACGGGGTCTTCACACTAGTCTCCCCCAGTCCTGGAGCACCAGTGTGGCCAGTGGGATGCCACACGAGTCCTCTCCACAGTCTCCACACCCCACAGCGGTTACTGCTGCTGCCCGTGCCACAGCAGCTGGGCCAGCGATGAGCTGTTTCTAGTGTCCTCGCTCTGTAACCATAAAGTCATCGAAACGGCTATGCATACTTTTTTTTTTTTTTGAGATTTTGTCTATGGAACCAGCAGTTAGTGTAATGGCTATGTCGCTGGACTCCCATGTAGTCAACCGTGGTTTGAGTCCTGGACCGGTGGTTTAAACTCACTTCGGGCGCATGTGTGTGCGTGTCCAAGATCCCGAGAGGAGAATGGAGAAGGGATTGCGGCGTGGCCATCCCCCCTGGGGGGTGATTTCTTGCTTTCTGTCTCTATGTCTCTGTCTGTCTGGCGAGCGCACGAGCCCAATAGCAAAAACCTCTCCAAAAAAAAAAAAGAGATTTTGTCTAGAGGGCTGTACGCTCAACAGAAAGACGAGAGAGCGAGAAATCGCCCCCCACCATTCTCCTCTCAGGATTTTCTTTTCTTTTTTTGGGGAGAGGTTTCCGCTACAGGGTGAGTGCGCTCGCTAGACACAGACAGACAGAGAGACAGAAAGCGAGAAATCACCCCCCGAGGCGGGATAGCCACACCGTAATCCCTTCTCCTCCATTCTCCTCTCGAGATCTTGGGCACGCATGCACACGCGCCCGGCGTGAGTTTAAGCCACCGGGTCTGGGACTCGAACCGCGGTCGACTATGTGGGAGTCCAGCGACATAGCCATCACGCTAACTGCTGGTCCCCCTCTCAGGATTTTAGACCCACCCACATCTTGCATGAGTTTCAGGCAGCCAGGACCAGGACTCATACCATGGTCAGCCAGTGGGAGTCCAGTGCCTTAACCACTTTGCCACCTGATGGCAAGTTCCCATACGCAAATCTTTATAAAAGCAGGAATAGGGAGGAGAAAAAGTCAGCCAAGTCAAACTTCAGAGATGATATTAACACGCTTGTTTCTATAACAATTTGTTCATTTTTTTTATAGCTGTGATATGTACAAACTGGGTATACATTTTTTATACAGAAAACTGTCACTCTTAGACACCTATCTTGGTGCCCAACTGCCTAAAGAACATTGTTAAAATTAGCTTCAAAGCATCCAGGGACACTTCAATGGAGTCCCGATGAGGCCACATCTTCGCGCTGCCCGTGTGTCCAACGCTTCCATCTACCTACAGACCGTAAGTTGCCTCTCTTACTTTTCAAACATCAGATGTTCCCTTATCAATGTAGAAAGGGTCATCCTCTCATTCATTCATTTTGAGAGTTTCAGTGAGAAATAAGAGAGGGGGGAACCAGCAGTTAGCGTAATGGCTATGTTGCTGGACTCCCACGTAGTCGACCGCAGTTTGCGTCCCGGACCCGGTGGCTTAAACTCACGCCAGGTGCGTTTGCGTGCATGCCCAAGATCCCAAGAGGAGAATGGAGGAGAAGGGATTGCAGTGTGACCATCCCCCTTGGGGGGTGATTTCTCGCTTTCTGTCTCTCTCTGTCTGGCGAGTGCACGCACCCTATAGCAAAACTCTCTCAAAAAAAAAAAAAAAAGAAAAAAAGAAAAAAAAATAGGTATCTGTACCAATGCAATCTACTTGGTCTGCTGAAAATCAAAAATTAAAAATAAATAAATAAATAAATAAAAGAAAGAAAGAGGGGGGAGAGAGGGAGAAAGGGGGCCTCCCGAGTTCCAGCTTTGCGCCCCACACTTGCACCACCGTGGCTGGGCTTCTCATTTTATTTCAATGATAATTTCTTTTTTAGAAGAATTATTTTATTCAGTTTTATTTACTTATTTATTTATTTAATTTGACCAGAGAGGGACAGAACAAGAGAGTGAGAAAGAGGAAAGTAAGAAAGCAAGCCACCAGGTCCGGGACTCAAACCGAGGTCAGACACATGGGAATCCAGTGCCCCTAACCACACACCACCTGCTGGCCCCCAGAGGTAATTTCTACATTCCCATTTCCATTACAAAATCATGCTCAGAACACAACGGGCCACTTAAAAAAGTCATTAAGGGCCTCCTTCATTGTGCAAGAGTGTGCAAGACACCAACAATACAAACAGCGTAACTACTGAGAACAGCACCGGAAGCTAAAGACCCGTCACGGCGCTGGAAAGCGGGAGGCCAGCGCTGAGGAGGGGTCAGCTGAAACACCGTGCCCTCAGCCGTGGGCACACGCTGTGCTCAAGACTTGAACGGCCGTCTGAAACAGCGGATGGTCCTGTCCCCGTGAACACGGCTGTCCATTGGCATGCACAGTTTACCTATAATACGATTTTTCACAGATTTCTTGAAGATCCCTAATGCTTTCTAAGATAAGCCCTTAAATAAACAAAGTAAACTCCCCCCCCTCGACTCTTGCCATAGGGAGCATGCTCTTGCAAGAGGGGACAGGGAGAGAGAAATCACCTCCCAGAGAGCGGCCGTGCATCCCTTCTCCCCGATTCTCCTCTTGGGATTCTGGGAACGTACACACACGCACCCTGTGTGTTTTCCATGCCACTGGGTCTGGGCCTTGAAACAGTCAGCCACATGGGATCCAGCAGCGGTGCCTAAACCACACCACTTGCTGGCCCATAAAGGTACCTTTCTTTGGAACAGAGGAATATTGAATCCATGATATTATGATTACATTTTTTTTGGTTATCTCTTCCATTTGCTTATCTTTCTTTTAACATCTTACTAAATCTTTATTTCTTCCATGACAACGACAGAGCATCCCCAACAGGGTCCTCATGCTCTGACCCCACTGGAGCCTCAGTCCCAGAACACGGGCACGTGTGCCCAGAGTTCTCAGGGAGGTCTCTGGATGTGAACTTGAGACCTTCCCTACGTGTCAGCGTCGCACAGTGTCTGTTTCACTGCTGTGCCACTGTCCAGCTCAATGTCCTACTGTCTTCCCACCTCCTTGAAGAACTCTCTAAGCCAGCCCCCAACACGGTCCACAGAGCCTGCCTACGCAAGTTCCTGTCCCATTCCCTTGAAGAGAGGTCCCTCCCAGAGCTCTCGAATCTGCTCCAACTGGGGCTGCTGCTTTCTGGGCCTGCCACGAAGCTCCCGTTTTGGGAAAGGCCCTTCCCTGGGAGGTTACCTGGAACTTCCCTTGCCTCCCTTTCATTTCGGATCTACTTTCTTCCTCTCTCGATTTACACATCTTTGTTCCGCGTGGTAAAAGCTGTCAGTGATACCTTTGACAGTGCACAGAAGCACATTGGAAAGACTGCCGTTCCGGAAACAGCTCTCCTGTGGCTCCGTCGTGGCCTCACCGACGGCAGAGCTGTAACCTCCCCTAGATTCCTGAAAGGCACGAGGTCGGTTTCCAGCATTGCTGCTGAAAAGCTCAAGGCTAATGCGATTTCTGAAATTATCCGTTTCTTCTGCTGACAGCTTTTCAGATCTACTCTTTATTCCGGTGTTTCGATTTCTTTGAAAAACTGTGCCCAGGTGCAGGTCATATTTTGTTTGCTGTGCCGGACACTGGACACTGCCTTTTGAACCAGCAAGTCTGTGTTCTTCGATCCTGGGGGAAATGTTGTTTCAGCTCCTGGACCCTTTCCTTCCCACTTTCTGTCTCTCTGGGGAACTCCTGTTAGTGTTCCCCAAGGTTCTCAGACCTACGACCGCATTTCCTCTTGGTGCCTACTTTCTGGCTGAATGGACCATGCGCCACACGGTCTGCTCTCTTTGCTAAATTACAGGTCTAGCCATTTTTTTCCTTTCTTTTGGAGAGATTTTTTTGCTATAGGGCATGTGCGCTCATCAGACAGACAAAGATAGAGAGACAGAAAGTGAGACATCACCCCCCCAGAGGGGGTGGCCACACCGCAATCCCTTCTCCTCCATTCTCTCAGGATCTTGGGCACACATGCACATGCGCCCAGCGTGAGTTTTAAGCCACCGGGTCCAGGACTCGCACCGCGGTCAACTACATGGGAATCCAGCGGCATAGCCATTACGCTAACTGCTGGACCCTCTAACCATCTTTTTAAAAGATGAGGCAAATCATCAGTGGCTGCCCTTGGACTAAAAGCCAAAGCCCTTACAGTGAGCTGCCAAGACCCTACAGACTCCGGTCTCACCACTGCACTCTCCGTTGCTCAGAGTGCTCGATCTTCATGACAACCTTGTTTAAAAGTCTATAATGCACAGAAAATGCAGGGAGCAGACTGCTGGTCATCAGTAGGAAACAGTTTGATCCTTTCATGAGGATGCTGTACGGAAATTTCATTAGCAACATCTGAGGAAATCAGAACTTAAAGAAGGGCTGCTTCAGTTACTGTAAGTTAAAAGCCTGGGGGCCAGCAGGTGCCATAGTGGTTATGGTGCTGGACTTACACACGGCCATCTATGGTTCAAGTCCTGGATCCAGTGGCTTCAAATGCTAGTCAGGTGTGTGTGTGTGTGTGTGTGTGTGTGTGTGCGCGCCCAAAATCCCAAGAAGAGAACAGAGAAGGGCTTGTGGCACGGTCATCCCCTTTGGAGGATGATATCTCACTTTCTCTATGTTTCCCTCTCTGTCTTTCCAGTGACCGCACATGCCCTATAACAAACATCTCTCTTAAAAAAAAAAGAAAGAAAGAAAGAAAAGAGTGGATGGTCATTTATTATTATAATAGTAACTTCTTCCATTTCTACTCCAGTGCCGAACCCAGGGCCTCAAATAAAACACTGGTAAGTAAAGAACAAACTCTCTCTGCACTGGGAACTAATAGATTTTAACTGGGAGGTAGGAATCACGGGGAAGTATTATCAGCTTTAATCTGTTCTCTAATTAAAAAGTAAACAAGATGCAGGGGCTTGGTTTACAACGCTGCGTGGAATGCAGTGAGGACGTCCACGCGCTCTTACCCGAAGGCGGGCGCTGCGTGTGCACATACTGACACGCGTGTGTGTCTCAGCTATACCAAGGTAAGTGCTGTCTGTGGACCAGTGTCAGCTGGTAAACCTGCTGTTACCAGTCCGTAACAAGATAATACAGAAGTTAAGACACTTTTGTAACAGCGCGACAGGACTGTGATTTTTACTGCATCTCACAGAAGTAAACTGTCTGTCCCGGACTGCAGGAAAACAAAGTGGAAGCTCATGTCCCCAGTCTGAGAAGAGGCGCTGTGTACCTCCTAGCAGCCCGGGGCACCTGGACAGCATGACGCAGTCAGCACGTCGTCTGTCCTGGGGCGCAGCTCACACGTCACACTCGCTAGTGAGGTCAACGGAGGCTGAGCTTTGCCCTAAAATTAGTTATGAAAAACAAAACGTTTGGTTTCACAGGTTTTGAGTTTTAGAAATGCAGGTAAGGGGTTATGGACCAACAAGAAAACAATGATGATAACAGAAGCAGTTTCTGAAAAAATTGTTTATTTATTTACTATTATTTTTAAATTTGCTGTACAGTCTGTGTGTTCACTGGAGAGAGAGAGGGAGAGAAAGAGGGAGAGGGAGAGAGAGAGAGAGAGGGAGAGGGAGAGAGAGAGAAGGAGGGAGAGAGAGAGAAGGAGGGAGAAGGGGAGAGAGAGAGAGAGAAAGAGAGGGAGAGAGAGAGGGAGGGAGAGAGG